GCATACATATCTTTGTAGATATAAAATGCTAAAGAAACTCGGCTTCGACCTTAAAAGATTTTATATTTAACGCCAAAATTTTACTTAGAAAACATTTTTTATAGTGAAAAAATTAACTTATCTTACGAGTACATGTGTGTGTGCTTGCATGTGAATTTATAAAAAGAATAGTGATACTCAAAAATCTTCTTATTTGTATGAATTCTCTTATTATTTTCCATCATGAAAATTATTGTTTTGAAAAAAAATTAAAATGGACCATATCGAGCCTTAACCGCCAAAATTAAGTGAGCGACATTTTTTCGAAATTTTCTTTTTGATGTAGAAATATTCCTAGAGCATCTAGATGAAAAAAAAAATTTAAAAAAAAATTTCGTTTACGTTATTTTGGCGGTAAGAGCTCGGATATGTAGTTATGTACACACGTACTTATTATATAAATTTTTAAATACAAAATTGCGTTTTACAAAATTCTCACGCAATTATTTACTAATTTTACACTTCATTAAATGTTTTTGTGTAATGCGCGTTTTTATTAAAATAATATGCGAATGCATAATAAGGGCGTTTTTACTTCGTTTGGTAATAAATGTACACATGAACATACATATGTATGTAAATATATTTACAATTAGTAAACATCACTATATTGCTTTATAAACATTTTTTCGAAAACTTCTTACCTCGCATGAAATTCACAAATACTGAGTGAACGCAATTTTATGGTGCTTCCGTTTCTACCAAAAAATTTCGCATTTTGATTGCCCCTTTCTCTTTTCATGTTCGATTCCAAAATAAGGGCAAACGGTGAGAAAATTTTTTGTTCGTTTCTTAAAATGTCACACTCTGGTAAGATAAATAAGGCACATTTTCTGCCCTTTGAAGCTTTGTCAGGGGAGATGGGCGCCCTGAAAATCAAATGAATGAAATGCGTGAGCTGGACAAGGACACGAAGACGAAAACATGCCCTTTTACATGGTTGAGTGTAACATTAAACACATTTTGCACCGTGGAAGGGCAACATTTTTTGGGAGAAAATAAATCACCATTAGTCAGTTCAGTTAAGTGTAGTTCAGTTTTCTTCTGTTGCTATGTATGTGCATTAGTGTGGTCCAAAATAAATAAAGTCAGAATTTTAATGCTCTCACCCCCTTGGATTGTTCTATATCGAAAAAAGTATACCCATATTTTTTTATTTTGAAATCAAAAAATATTTAGAGGTCGCTCAAAGCGCTCCAACTTTCCATGTATTTTGTATGGGAAAAAACAACTCTTCGTGGAAATGGTATGGAATTCTTGAAAATCAATATTTTTCCACCGGAAAACTCTGACTTCCAATAACAATATCCAATTATTAATTTAACCATTTTTCAATAATGAAGATTTTTTATTTATCCCCCCATTACATTTTCTGGCGTTTTCAAGGGGTTTTGGCGGTCCTATAAAATATAGTTACTAAGAAAAAATTGTTAAAAAAATAATTGGGTTTTATTATTGGGAATCTGTTGAAGAGAAGCAGAGTGTTCTTCATTTCCACGAAAAGTTCTTTTTTACCCGTACAAAATACATGGAAAACTTTGAGCGCTTAGAGCGACCTCTAAATATTTTTTGATTTCAAAATAAAAAATAGGGATATACCCTTTTCGATATAGAACAATCCTAGAGGGTGTGAGCATAAAAATTCCGACTATACTTTTTTACATGCATTTCTGGACCACCTAATGTGCATATCTGTTTATACTTTTTCCAATAGCATAGAATCAGTACTCTAACACAAAACATTACCATATTTAACAAAAGAGAAAATAAGAAAATGCGGAAAATTGTTTTATTAAAAATTGGTCGAGATGATTATTAAACCTCGCTTCGGATTTGTGGAACATTTCGGTTCGGTTAATGGATCAGTTAGTTTGTAAAAGCATGCGATTTATCCGGTTCAAGCCCGGTACATATGCAGCTATACTGTATACAGTGACTCAAACAAGCACATATTTTGTTTTGTCATTAACAAAATGTTAGCAATTTTTATTCTCTATTTTTCAACTGGAATAAATGAACGTTATTTTATTATTTATACATTAACTTAAATATGGTTTTCTATAAACATCGGTTTTAACAGTAGGCACCATGATAAAAACATAGTAAGGTAAAACCGTTCTCTCAATTCGTCGGCCATGATTTTTTTTTTTGAAGTTTGCTAACATTTTAAGATCATATAAAATTGAGAGTAAAAAAATGAATTGTTCGACGTTGTTGTTGTTTGAGATTGAAAATGAGAATGTGTGTGTGAGTTTGTGTGTAAAATTTCAAAATTAAATTGCTTGCAAACGTCAAGAATTTGAAAAATTCCTCTCAGCGGTTCTACCTTCCTATTTTTTTATCATGGTAGGCAGCTCGAATCGTTCAATCACTGTAACCGCCAAATTATATATTTGTACAAAGTTTAGAAAATTGAACAATTTTTCATGAGGTCTATGTTTAATTGTTTTTTTTTTCTCTGGGCCAACTGAATTGTTTCTTAGTTTTAAAAAAGCTGGACCTAGTTGTACTTTTTTAAATCATTTCGTGAATCAAATCCCCACTGGAGCTATATTTGCGGTTTCAACAAAATAAAAATAAAAGATTTGGGTGTTTCCATGATGTCGGACGTGATATTTGTACGACGAAAATGGAAGTCACTTATGCCAAAAAAAAAGTTTTCCTTTCTTAAACATTCTTTAAATAAAGTCAAATTACGGACCATTACAACCAATTCATTCTTAATCAGAAGCAGTTCATTGGTGGTTTGATTTTGAATTGAAATGTGATAACTAACGGACGCGACAGATTTTTCCCACATACAATATTTTTACTAGTTAGTAATGCATATATTAAAATCTCACGAGTGGTTACATTGGTTGTATTTAAATGAAAATTAGAAAAAGATATACTAAAAACTAAAAATAACCACTGGCGATCAAATACACTTAGATATCTTTTTATGCGGTACATGCGTTCCTCAGAAAGCCGCATAGAAAAGTTCTTTACTTACATACAAAAACAGGAGATGCGTTCCAGCATTTTCAAAAACCGCATAAATTCAGATACTCCATGTAAAAAGTTCTAAAAAACGCATAAAAAATACAGTTAGGCATTATTAGCAAAAAAAAACTATTTATTTCTACACTTCAACACTTATTATACCATGTAAAACTGAACATTAATGAAATAAATAAAAGCTTATATGTATTTTAATCAACAAAAAAAATAAAAATACTAAAATAAATATGTACATGCATTATGTAAGAATACAAAGACAAATTATTTATCAGAGCATTGTCTCTTACACACTGAAAAAATAATAATAAAAGCTCTCAAAAAAGCAAAATCGCTTCTGCGAAAAAATGGTTTGAAAAACCGAATAAATTCAAATCTGCATAAAAAGAGACCTAAGTGTACTCCTTAGTTGCGTATGTAACGTATTCGCCCAGTAGCGCCATACGCAGTCATCTAACCAGTGTTGCCATTTTAGCCGTGTTCCGGCTAGATTTAGCCGGTTGCGATAGCAAACAGCCGGAGAAATTTCGATTTAGCCGGCAGCCGATTTGTTAGCCGTTTTGCAGAAAAAAATTAGCCGTTTTCAGCCGTTTTTAGCCAATTTTGCTATTTGCCTTGTTTTCTTAAATTTCAAATATGTATATATGTTTCCATTTTTGACTAAGCGACCCAAAATCTGTTAGAAATGGCTACTAGCCTTATCGTGGAGAAAATTTTCATGTCAGGCAGGGTTGTATGAAATTGAGCCGATTTCGCTTATTTTTATTTTAAACGAAGAAGGGATTTTCTTCATAAAATGTTTGTTATAAATGTCTTAATTTTAAGCATGATAAAAATATAGTAAGGTAGAACCGCTGAGAGTCTCTTTTAAAATTCTTGACGTTTTCAAACAATTTAATTTTTAAATTTACTCACAAACTCACACACACATTTTCATTTTCAATCTCAAGCAACAACAAATTCGAACAATTTCAATTTTTTATTTTCACTTTCATATGATTCTAAAATGTTGGCAAACTTCAAAAAAAAATCATGGCCTACAAATTGAGAGAACGGTTCTACCTTGCTATGTTTTTATCATGATTTTAAGTATGAAGTTTTATTCGCAAACTTAGAAAATAAGAAATTGTTTCACTGTTAAGACACACAAGATGCGTTTGTGTTTGGATATAGTGCCAACAAACAGAATAAATAGTACATGTAGATATTGTCTTCCCAGATAGCGCATATTCAATTCTGCCTAAATTACAAAACATCATTTTGGCCCACTCCCAAAGGTTTAAGGTAAGGGAAAAATTTATATTTTCAAGCACTATTTTTTTAAACAAACTTTTTTGCTGGGGACTTATTTAAATTCCAAAACCGAATGCCAACTTGAATTAAAGGAACCAACACTGAAGTGAGTCAAAATGAAAATAAAAGAGCACAAATTTCTATGTAAAGCAAAACTCTCTGGGAATCCTACGAGAAATCTGCCGGTCATATGACCAGTCATCCAAATGGGTGATCTGCAGTCTTTTGGCATCATATTTTACATCATAATTGAAGGGATTTCTGAAAAATCTGACCAGCTCTTTTGTGTAACTGTGATTTTGCATCCCTTGTCAACATATGGCCTCGGTTGATGTTAACTTAAGGTCGTTGTTTTACTGCCTTAAAATTTAAGGAAAATTTTTACAGCGTCTTTTATGTGTACTGGTTTCTATTTGAGTGTATTGAGAATCGGTCAGTCTGAAAAGGCCTTCTAATGAAGACAATAGCTTTGTTCGTCGAAAATCTAGCGAGAATTATCACTCAAGATATCAGATAGTAAGAAAAAATGCTCCCAAATTCTCTCTCATGTAGAGAAACTTGCAAATTTCTGTACGAACGTAAATTTGCAAGTTTTTCTGCCAGCTAGTGTCCACGGTTGCATTTCAAACAAAAGAAATTTAACGAACTTGTTTATTCAAATTATCGTCGACAAAAAATCCAACCATGTGCCACAATCGTATGTTTTTCCTAATTGCAAATTCTTGTTGGCAAAATTTTTTCCGGCTCGAATTTGTAACTTCTCTTCAAGAAATAGTGTTTTTACTCGTGATTTATTTAAATAAAACATGTGAAATTTAGTTGAAACATTTTAGCCGTTTTTAGCCGGTTTTATTTGCCAATTTAGCCGGTTCGTCCAAAAAGTTCTGGCAACACTGCATCTAACACGTTGATTCGCGCGCCTTAACTTAAGTCGTATTATTTAAAAGTTATTAAATATTGACGTGGGAGATTTTTACACAAATATATGTAACAATTTTAAAATGAATTTCGAGTGTGCCCATAAAAGTTGTAAAAAAGGAATTTCTCAATCAATTTTCTCAAATCAATTTTTTTACTAATGTAATTTTTTTTTCATTTGGTGACACTAGTTTTATTACAAAAGCTTCGTTCGTTTTGCCAAGAAGAACAGTTTCACCATTTAATTTTAATATTTTGAAGTGCCTTAAATTATTAATATTAAAAAATCTTAAAATTTCAAAAATTACAAAATAGCTGCGACATATATAACGCATGCTGCCATTTTTTTAATTTGATGGCACACTCCTGAAACTTTGCAGATATATTGTATTTTATACCAACGTCCATTGCCCCTAATATGAACATTCTATTTCAAAACTATATAATTTAATTTATTATTCAGTTTTTTTTAGTTCTTCTCTACCCAACGTTTCGCATTTTCATAAACTTGTTTCGCCATCTCGAAACGAAATTTTAAGTTATAAAGCCATTTGAACGCATTTACTTGCATTTTTGGTTTACATTTTTATGGAAACACCCATATGTACATATATATATTTAATGTATTAACAGTAAATTTAAAGATGCAGCTCTATAAATATTTTAGTTGAAACACCCGGTTTATTCGATATACGGAAAATGCCGATTTCGAAAAAAATCCGCCAGCCATTTTAGTAACAATGTATGTATATTTTCATGTAAATGCATTGCACTATGTTAGATTTTTCCTGCAGGGAGGCGTTGGTGTAATATAAAGCACGTTTTTCTTTTGCTGGAATTAAGTTTATTGACCCTGAAAATGTTGTGAGAAATTCTTGCCATAGTGCTAGCTATGCAGTTATTGCAGACATATGTTGGTATCAACAAAAAACTTGTCATTATTGTGACTTATCTACTGCAATGATTTTCTTCTTGAGACTGTAAGCACTTACGATGGTCTGTAGTAAAAATTCATGTACGGATATAAGCTTCGAACAGTTTGTGATTACATATAACCAGAATTGTTTTATAATTCCATCGGTTGAATGTATTTCTACCTAAACATCAGGGCACATTACTTTAATTGTTGTTCATATATCGAAAGGCTAAAGAAGTACCTTTGAGATCAGACCTGCATTTAGTCGAAAGTTTAGTAAGTATGAAAATACCACCTCTAGTTATCCTATGTTCTGCAATGCAATCAAACGGGCTTTGGTTCTGTGGGGTTCTTAAAAAATTCATATTCTTCATTTTTTCATCTGTTTCTTTAGTTGTGTATGTGTTGCAAATGGGACTACCGAGATCATTCGTTGGTTGAATACATATGAAGGTATATGCAGTTCTTTCGCTCTTTGAGCCAAATGCGGCTCTTTGCTTAGCAAAGTGCGGCTCTTTTCACTTTCTCTTTGCTTAGCACATTTTGGCTCGTTTTACTTTTTAAAATACATATTTCTTTGCTGGACATTCTTTTCCATTGTGTTGTTTTTTTATTTTATACTTTTTATAAACACACTAGCTGACCCGGCGAACTTCGTCCCGCCCAAAATTTATTTTTTTATTGCAACATTTGGTCCAACGTTTTCCTCACAATTCACGTTCAAGTTGGTTTCGTGGTCGTCAGAAAGCATATTCTCTATTGCCGTCTTAAATAACTAACGAAGTCGTTATGTCCGTGAAGAAGTACGATGATGAATCGTCCTAGAATCTGTATCCTTGTATCCTGTATCCTGTGTCCTTGAATCTGGAGGCAATCTCAAGATGGGGGAGTATCATTGGTCCAATATACATAGACTTACTTCAGACGAAATATCATAAATGTCTTACCATTTTCATTATAGGCATTCATTAAGAATTGTCTTTATTCTGTTTAACCACAGTAAATCAAGGACTGCAATGGTTATGATAGTAGATTTAACGGTGGTAACTTCACTACTTTGGTGCATGGTATTTTCGAATGACTTCACTTGACAATTTTTAGAAATAACTCGACTCCAGCGCCACCTGGTGTTTTAAGTTGTGAACCCCGTTTATTAGGAGATCAACAACACGTACCGAAGAATTATATATGTATTTACAGATAGGTAAAAGTTTCAGTATGTTTGGAAGGCGCCACGCCCACTTTTCTCCATGAGTATGGGATTGATACCATTTCAATACTTCCAGAGATATGCGGTATGAAAAATTCGATTTGTATGGGAGATGCCACGCTCCCTTGATATAACGAAATTATTATTTCATCAATTTCAAAGAAACCGGTACAGCCGTTTGCGAGATCACGTCTTATAAAAATAGGTAACTTCTCTTTATATAATTGGTATAGATAATAAGTAAACGTAAATAGCCAATACCCGATTGCTTTGCGGCGCCTTAAAACACCTTCCAACTAGAAAGCAATCATTCAATTCTATTACATATATATCTATAATACGTGTATCGAATTTCAAGAAAAACGGACCATATGTACAATTTTTTCGAATAGTCAGTCCCTGGTCCACCTATCAGAAAAAAGTATCTTATATGTCAATCCGGGCAATAAGCTACCTATGCGCCAAAATTCAAGAAAATCAGACCATAAAAAAGATTTTTTCGAATAAGATCGGTCCCTGTTTAACTTACCGGAAAAAAGGATCTTATATGCTAATCTCGGCAAAAAGCTACCTGCTTGCCAAATTTCAAGCAAACCAGACCATAAAAAAGATTTTTTCGAATAGATAGGTCTCTGGTCAACCTACCGGATAAAATGATCTTATATGCTAGATCGATCCCTGGTCCACCTACCTGAAAAAGTATCCTATATGTTAATCGAGGCAAAAAGCTACCTACGTACTAAACTTGAAGCAAATCTGACCATAAATACAATTTTTTCAAATAGATCGGAAAAGGGGATCCAATATGCTAATCTAGACAAAAAGCTACCTACGTACCACATTTTAAGCAAATCGGACCATTTAAATAATTTAATCCAGACGCTGACAATTTCTGCTGGAAATCCCTGTTGAAGGAGTTTACTCTTTGATTTTAAATAGCAAAGAAGGGAGACGTAGGGGGAGAGTTCTACCACAAAAGTTTGTACCCAAGGATCAAATGTATATCCCAATGAAAAAAATATTGCTCGACTAGTATACAAAATTATTGTTTTTAAAATTTTTGATAAAAATGCATAAATCCCCCAAAGAGCCCCATTTGAAATGATTGAAACGAATATATGTAACATCAAAGGAAAATCACGAAAATTTGGTTTAAAATTACAGGGCACACTTTCTTCCTTTATTTCAAGCAGTTTTTTTTTTAGATTGGTCCAAAAAATCATAACAAAGACAGAAACAAATGCAGGTATTTAAAGCACAGTTTTGTTACACAAATACTCCCACGACCACAGACAAAAATATTGGCTACAATTTGTCATTTGATTTGCCAGATATACGTTTTATCGGTACACATACACAAAATTCGCATTCGCAAAAGCTCCACATTGATTATTGCGAATGCGAATGTTAAATTTAACGCGGAAACTCCGCGGTCGCGAACGCGAATATTCGCAACAACCCTGGTCTCGATATACCATCTTTCGTTTCCTCATCAGCGCATTAATTTCTCGATGCAACCTTTAAAAATTTGTACCCAGTTCTCAAATTTTGTGAAGAGAGAAGATCTTCATTAGGCGAAACTACACCAAAACAAAAATTATTGCTAATTGTACGTTCAACATGAGATTGTATATTCAACATAAGAAACTCCAAATAAGATGACTACCAGGCGAATGTTGTAATATTAAAGAAGTTCTCAAAGATGGAAGGGTGCGTTTTACATTCAGCCCGTTCCGGATGATATTCACTGCATTGCGATTGGTCGAAATCCGAGTCTGACAATAATTCGTTGAATACCCACAGTGGTCTTGAAGCAACCATAGCTATGACTAAAATGCCAACCAAAACTGCTTGCATACCTGTTTTGGAACGCACCCATAGACCAATATGCCGTTGGAATTAAAATCATATCTGCTCCTATGCCTAAAATATTAATTAATTAATTAATTTCTCGATGCAACCTTTAAAAATTTGTACCCAGTTCTCAAATTTTGTGAAGAGAGAAAATCTTCATTAGGCGAAACTACACCAAAAAAATAGTATTGCTGATTGTACGAGAGATTGTATATTCAACATGAGAAACTCCAAATAAGATGCCTACCAGGCGAATGTTGTAATAGTAAAGAAGTTCTCAAAGAGGGAAGGGTGCGTTTTACATTCAGCCCGTTCCGGATGATATTCACTGCATTGCGATTGGTCGAAATAATCCGTTGAATACCACTCGTGTTTCAAAAGTAGTCGCATATTTTCATCATGCTTCCCAGCCTAGAATTGTTTGAAAAAAAAGTTATCGGGGTAAAAATCCCGACCACAAAGTACAAAGTTATGGAAAAATAAAATGCCGTTTCAAGGCTAATAAATCTAGAATCATTGAAAAAGATTTTTAAAATCCTCTAGCTTTTGTGGAAAAATTAGCAAAGTTATTTTTAGTCCCGTATTCGGCTGCCATAATTATGTGGTCACCGTAGTTATGATGGAATCCGAAAAACTGGAAATGCAACTTAAGCTCGTCAGCGATTTCAAGCATCCGTTGTTGGTTACCCCAGCAACCGAGGCAATCGGAGATCTGTTTGATACTGGCGCAAAGCGTTGACAAGCATTAGTGTGTTAGTTGTTAGTGTGTTGACGCTTTATGCTTGAGTGTCGCCGGGCAAGCTTCAAGCACCCGACATTCAACCCGACACTCACACATGTACTCGTTGCTGGGGTAACCAACAACGGATGCTTGAAATCGCCGACGAGCTATATGGATTCCGGCAACAAGTACCAGATTAATAATATCAGCTGATGAAAACAGCTGCGTGACGTACATATGTATATTTCCAATTTTTGGTATAAAGCTCGTCGGCGATTTCAAGCATCCGTTGTTGGTTACCCCAGCAACCGAGGCAATCGGAGATCGTCGTGTCACACGTACTTGTTGTCGGCTCGTGTTGATGGAAAATCAAAAATTTTTGATTTTCCATCAACGCGACCGCTTGACAAGCGGTCTGTTTGATAGTGGCGCAAAGCGTTGACAAGCATTAGTGTGTTAGTTTGTTGTGATATGTAAAATGAGCAAGTTCGCGGAAGATAAAGATTTTAGTGGCAAGTAGCGAAAAATCGTCATCCGATGAAGACATGTTTACGTCCGCCCACTACGAAATTTTATTGCAAATGGTGTTGACGCTTTATGCTTGAGTGTCGCCGGGCAAGCTTCAAGCACCCGACATTCAACCCGACACTCACACATGTACTCGTTGCTGGGGTAACCAACAACGGATGCTTGAAATCGCCGACGAGCTTAACGTATGACTGAGTCTTTGTACTCTACAATGAAATTCGTAAAGTCAGAATACCGTTCACATATCGTTCACGATAATTATTGAAAGTTATAACTTGAAACTTGCAAAGTAGGGGAAATTGAGAGAACAAAATGACATTTCATTTTGAGGGAAAGCTGCTAGTTTCTGCTGGAAAAATTTTAGCCAACAGCAATTGTCCAACAAGAAAACAGCTGGTTGGAATTTACGCAAATCCCTAAATTGATCGATGGTTTGGAAGTTATAATAGTAAAATGCGGCTAATTGATTGCGGCTATTGACTAACCAACATTTAACAGAACTGTTACGAACGGCTTTAACTGACGTATAACCAGATTGATGAAAATTTGCCGAAAGGGGTCTTTTGAATTTTCTTTAATATCAATCTTACGTACATTAGAATAATCATAAAATTAATGTTTTTCATTTCTAATAATAATTTTATTTAAAAATAAAATTATTGCTTTTGTTGCTTTTTTGTGGCACTTTGTAGCGTTTATAAATTATATGTGGCTCTTTTCGGCCTTGGCCTTGCCCACCCCTGGTATAGCCCAATGGTATTTTATTGCTTTATACCACCAGCTCAGACCTTTGCCTTGTACTTTAGTTTAAAAATTTCGCTTTGGCTTGTTGTCAAGTTATGTATATGTATCTATTCGGTTATTTAATAATACTATTTTCATTTTAAGTTGAATCTGATTCATATTAGTTTAATAGCAAACAAGATATGCTAGAAAATCTTCATACCGCTCTGCTGTCACATTTTATGCTTGGCTTGGGTTACTTTAGCATTCTGTGGGAATAATACGACATAAGCTTCCTGCTGTTCTTCTTTTAGCTGTAGTCCCCGTAAATTTACCACATCGGCATCTACATGGACAATGTTTTCTTGAATTTTGGAATTATTCGCAAAGTTATGAAAAAGATTTCGGAATTGTATATAGAATTCTGTTGTATCTGGTCCAATGAGAAACACTAAGGGAATTTGATTTATTAACTGGATTGCCCCAGCTGCTGCTATTATGCAGCACACTATGATGAAATATTTTTGCATTTTTTTTTTTGTTACTTATTCCAACGTTTATGTCAATAATTTTTAAATGATTCTATCACAATTGACTCCCAATTAATTTTATAATATTTATAGTATTTGTATAGATATTAAAACAAGTAATTTTTAGCAAAAAAAAAACCGACTTAAAAAAATATATATATATCTATATATTTCATGATCCAATGATCGCATCTAAACCAAATTAGTAAATTAGTATGGGACCACCTCTGAGACACCACCTTTCCATTGCAAATTATTGAAATCGGTTGACGTAGTGCGGTAACATACATAAAAAAAAATGAAAAATAAAAAATATTCCGACGAACTGATAACTTCCTCCTTTTTTGGAAGTCGGTTAAAAAATATAAATACTCGTACTTTTAATTTCTGTCACAAAATATTT